CCCGGGTATCGTCCCCCACGGGCAGATTTTAAGGCGAGAACACGGGTTTAATCTTTCTGACGGGCCAGACTTTAGGCGGGGAAACCCCAGGTATCGTCTGCACGCAACTTTAGGAAGAACAAGGTATCGCCCTGCACAGCGCTTTGGGCGAAAAAACCCCAGGTTTCGTCTCCCCAACAGCAGACTTTGGGCGAGGAAAACAGGTTCGTCTGCACAGCAGTTTTTGGAGAGAACACAGGTATAGTCTGCCAGCAGACTTTGGGGCGAGAACACAGGTATCGTCTCACAGCAGACTTTGGGGCGAGAACACAGGTATCGTCTGACAGCAGATTTTAGGCAGAAAAAAGGGTATCTTTCCCCAACAGAAGACTTTAGGCGAGGCCCAAAATTTTCCCCGTCTGCACAGCGATTTTAAAAAAAACACGGGGTTCGTCTCCCACGGGCAGACTTTAGGCGAGAACACGGGTATCGTCTGCACGCAGACTTTAGGCGGAACACAGGTATCGTTTGCACAGCAGCCCTTTAAAGGGGGGAAGGAAACAGGTATCGTCCCCACAGAACTTTAGGAAGAACAAAAGGTATCGTCTGCACAGCGGGAACTTTAGGCAGAACACAGGTATCGTTCCCACGGGCAGCCCTTTGGGCGGGGAAAAACCCAGGTATCGTCTGCACGAAAGACTTTAGGAAGAACACAGGTATAGCCCTCCCACAGCAATTTTAGGCGAGAACACGGGTTTCGTCTGCAAGCAGACTTTAGGCGAAAAACACGGTATCGTTGCACAGAAAGATTTAGGGGGAAAACCCACAGAAAAACCCAGTCGAGATGTGAAGCCCTTTGTATCATGGTTTGGGGGGTGGGTTGGGGTGGTCGAGGTGGGTTGTGGAGGGGGTTTGGTGGTGGAGAGGGGTTGTAGAGGTGGGATGTGGTGGTACGGTGGGTTGGGGGGGGTGGGGGGGGGTTTGTAGAGGGGGGTTTTGGGGGGGGGTGTAGGTTGGTTGTGGAGGGGGGTTGTGGTGGGGGGAGGGGGGGGTTGTAAGGGGGGTTTTAGTGGTGGAGGTGTGTTGTGGAGGGGGGTTGTGGTGGTGGAGGGGGGTTGGGAGAGGGGGGTTTGTGGTGGTGGAGGGGGGTTTTGTAGAGGGGGGTTTTTGGGGTGGTGTAGGGGGGGTTTGAGAGGGGGGGTTTTGTATTTTGGGGAGGTGGGTTAGTGGAGGGGGGTTGTGGGGGTTTGGAGGTGGGTTGTGGGGGGTGGGTTTTTGTGGGGGTTTGTAGGTTGGTTGTAGAGGGGGGTTGTGGTGGTGGAGGTGGGTTGGAGGGGGGTTGTGGTGGTACAGGTGGGTTGTGGAGGTGGGTTGTGGTGGTGGAGGTGGATTGTGGGGGTGGAGTTGTGGTGGGGGAAAGGTGGGTTTTTGGTGGTACAGGTGGGTTTGGTGGACAGGTGGGTTGTAGGGTGGAGGGGGGGTTTTGGGGGGAGGTGGGTTGTAGGGGTGGGTTGTGGTGGCGGAGGTGGGTTGTGGTGGGGAGGTGGGTTGTGGGGGGGGGTTGTGGTGGGGAGGTTTTGGTTGTGGAGGGGTTGGGTTGTGGGGGGGAGGGAGGTGGGTTGTGGTGGGGAGGTGGGTGTGGTGGGAAAGGTGGGTTGTAGAGGTGGGTTGTGGTGGTACAGGTGGGTTGGGGTGGTGGAGGTGGGTTGTAGAGGTGGGATGTGGTGGTACAGGTGGGTTGTGGTGGGTTTGTAGAGGTGGGATGCAGAGGCGGTGGGTTGTGGGGGTTTACAGGTGGGTTGTTAGGGTGGGTTGTGGTGGTAAGGTGAGTTGTGGTGGTGGAGGGGGTTGTAGAAGGGGGTTGTGGTGGTACAGGGGGGTTTGTGGGGGAGGTGGGTTGTAGAGGGGTTGGTGGAGGTTTGTGGGGGGGGTAGATGGGGGTTGTGGGTGGTAAAGGTGGGTTGTGGTGGTGGAGGTGGGTTGTAGAGGTGGGTTGTGGTGGAGGGATGGGTTGTAGAGGTGGGATGTGGTGGTACAGGGGGGTTTTGTGGAGGTGAGTTGTAGAGGTTGGGTGGGTTGTGGTGGTAAAGGGTGGGTTGGGGGTGGTGGAGGTGGGTTGTAGAGGTGGGTTGTGGTGGAGGAGATGGGTTGTAGAGGGGGGATGTGGTGGTACAGGTGGGTTGTGGTGGTGGAGGTGGGTTGTAGAGGTGGGAGTGTGGTACAGGTGGGTTGTGGTGGGTTGTGGAGGTGGGATGTAGAGGCGATGGGTTGTGGTGGTAGGTGGGTATGTGGTGGTGGGTTGTAGAGTGTGGTTAGGGTTGGGTTTGGTGGTACAGGTGGGTTGTGTGGTGGAGGTGGGTTGTAGTGGTGGTAGGTTGTAGTGGTGGGTGTGGTGGTGGAGGTTGGGTTGTAGAGGTGGGTTGGGGTGGTGCAGGGGGATTGTGGAGGTGGTAGGTTGTGTTGTGGTACAGGTGGGTTGTGGTGGTGGAGGTGGGTTGTAGAGGTTTGAGTGATGGTACAGGTGTGTTGTGGAGGTGGGTTGTAGAGGTGGATGTGGTGTGTACAGGTGGGTTGTGATGGTGGAGATGGGTTGTAGAGGTGGGTTGTGGTGGGTCAGGTGGGTTGTGGGTGGGTGGAGGTGGGTGTAGAGGTGGGATGTGGGTGGTAATGTGGGTTGTGGGTGGGTTGTGGAGGTGGGATGTAGGTGGGGTGGTTGGTTGTGGTGGTTCAGGTGGGTGTGGTTGCAAGGTGGGTTGTGGTGGCACAGGTGGGTTGTGGAGGTGGGTTGTTGAGGTGAGTGGGAGGTTGGTGTGGAGGTGGGATGTGGTGGCAGGTGGTGTGGAGGTGGGTTGTAGAGGTGGTGGGTTGTGGTGGTAAAGGTGGGTTGTGAGTGGTGGAGGTGGGTTGTAGAGGTGGGTTGTGGTAGCAGAGGGTGGGTTGTGGTGGGGGGTGGGTTGTGGTGGTGGAGGTGGGTTGTAGAGTGGGTTGTGGTGGTGGAGGTGGGTTGTGGAGGTGGGTTGTTGGTGGTGGAAGTGGTGGGTTGTGGAGGTGGGTTGTGGTGGTGGAGGTGGGTTGTGGTGGTAAAGGTGGGTTGTAGAGGTGGGTTGTGGTGGTACAGGTGGGTTGTGGTGGTGGAGGTGGGTTGTAGAGGTGGGATGTGGTGTTACAGGTGGGTTGTGGTGGGTTGTAGAGGTGGGATGCAGAGGCGGTGGGTTTGTGGTGGTACAGGTGGGTTGTAGAGGTGGGTTGTGGTGGTACAGGTGAGTTGTGGTGGTGGAGGAGGGTTGTAGAAGTGGGTTGTGGTGGTACAGGTGGGTTGTGGTGGTGGAGGGGTTGTAGAGTGGGTTGTGGTGTACAGGTGGTTGTGGAGTGGGTTGTAGATGTGGGTTGTGGTGGTAAGGTGGGTTGTGGTGGTGGAGGTGGGTTGTAGAGGTGGGTTGTGGTGGAGGAGATGGGTTGTAGAGGTGGGATGTGGTGGTACAGGTGGGTTGTGGAGGTGAGTTGTAGAGGTGGTGGGTTGTGGTGGTAAAGGTGGGTTGTGGTGGTGGAGGTGGGTTGTAGAGGTGGGTTGTGGTGGAGGAGATGGGTTTGGAGAGGTGGGATGTGGTGGTACAGGTGGGTTGTGGTGGTGGAGGTGGGTTGTAGAGGTGGGATGTGTGGTACAGGTGGGTTGTGGTGGGTTGTGGAGGTGGGATGTAGAGGCGATGGGTTTGTGGTGGTACAGGTGGGTTGTGGTGGTGGGTTGTAGAGGTGGTGGGTTGTAGGGTTGGTGGGTTGTGTGGACAGGTGGGTTGTTGTGGTGGAGGTGGGTTGTAGAGGTGGTAGGTTGTAGTGGTGGGTTGTGGTGGTGGAGGTGGGTTGTAGAGGTGGGTTGTGGTGGTGCAGGTGGATTGTGGAGGGTGGGGTTGTGGTGGTACAGGTGGGTTGTGGTGGTGGAGGTGGGTTGTAGAGGTTTGATGTGATGGTACAGGTGTGTTGTGGAGGTAGGTTGTAGAGGTGGGATGTGGTGGTACAGGTGGTTGTGATGGTGGAGATGGGTTGTAGAGGTGGGATGTGGTGGTACAGGTGGGTTGTGGTGGTGGAGGTGGGTTGTAGAGGGGGGATGTGGTGGTACATGTGGGTTGTGGTGGGTTGTGGAGGTGGGATGTAGAGGCGGTGGGTTGTGGTGGTACAAGTGGGTTGTGGTTGCACAGGTGGGTTGTGTGTGGCACAGGTGGGTTGTGGAGGTGGGTTGTTGAGGTGAGATGTGGGGTTGGTTGTGGAGGTGGGATGTGGTGGCCACAGGTGGGTTGTGGAGGTGGGTTGTAGAGGTGGTGGGTTGTGGTGATTAAAGGGGGGTTGTGGTGGTGGAGGTGGGTTGTAGAGGTGGGTTGTGGGTAGCAGAGGTGGGTTGTGGGGGGGAGGGTGGGTTGTGGTGGCGGAGGTGGGTTGTGGGGGGGGGTTGTGTTGGGGGAGGTGGGTTTGGGTGGTGCAGAGGTGGGTTGTGGTGGCAGAGGTGGGTTGTGGTGGGGAGGGGGGTTGTGGTGGCGGGGGTGGGTTGTGGGGGGGTGGTGGGGTTGTGGCCGGGGAGGTGGTGTAGGTGGGTTGTGGTAGCATGGGTGGGATGTGGTGGGGGGGGGTGGGTTGTGGGGCGGAGGTGGGTTGTGGGGGGGGAGGTGGGTTGTGGTGGCGGAGGTGGGTTGTGGTAGCAGGGGTGGGTTGTGGTGGGGGAGGTGGGTTGTGGTGGCGGAGGTGGGTTGTGGTGGCAGAGGTGGGTTGTGGTGGCAGAGGTGGGTTGTGGTGGCGGTGGTGGGTTGTGGTGGGGGAGGTGGGTTGTATTGGCGGTGGTGGGTTGTGGTGGGGGAGGTGGGTTGTGGTGGGGGAGGTGGGTTGTGGTGGGGGAGGTGGGTTGTGCTGGGGGAGGTGGGTTGTGGTGGCGGAGGTGGGTTGTGGTGGCGGTGGTGGGTTGTGGTGGGGGAGGTGGGTTGTGGAGATAGTGGTAGCAGAGGCTGGTAGAGCAGTTCAGTCTGGCAGGAGGGAGAGTCAAGAGAGGATGCTGTGGCACTGCTCTCCCTGGCACTGCTCTCCCTGGCACTGTGCATCCCTCACTACCACCATCCTTGTGACTCAGTAACCATCGACAAGTCACTCTGCCTCCACAACATCCTGATACACACACCAACTTAATCTAAATTAAATTATCAAGAAAAGAACTTAGGTATAACTTCTAAATTGAACAGATCCTTAAAAACTGTTAGTGCGACATTGACAGTGTTGATGGTGGTACAGTGTCCTCGGGATAGTGTTCACAGGCCGCGTAATGACTCACGATAATAGCGCACATAACAACACGATTGTAACCAAACCACGGAACGGATGGGGTTTGAACCCATGAGTCGTAAAACTTCCTGACTTTGGTTAATGAACTACAAGCAGCTAATGGGAATTGTAACAGGGAAGTGAATGTTTTTTTTTTTTTATGATTCTGGTCTCTCTTGTCAGGTGAAGACGGTATATGCAAATGAGCCATTAACTCCATGCAACTGAGTCAAGTTGTTGTTGCTATGATCCCAGACACTGTTGCATGACCCTACCTCCTTCACTCTCCACATTTCTCCAACACTTGCGCCACCAGCAACATGGACAACCAGAGGTTAGCAGACTTCAGCAGCAATGTGTCTGAGAGCAATTTCCTGCTGGTGAACAAGACTTGTGGGAGCGGCAACGCTACTGACTTCCTCAATGTTAGTAATCTGTATCCTCTGGACCTGGCTATGCCACTCTATGGGTACGCTATGCCAGTGTTGCTACTGGTGACTACTGTGGCCAACACTATCATCGTGGCTGTTTTATGGCAGCATCACATGCGATCTCCAACAAATGCGGTGCTCATGGCTATGGCGCTCTCAGACATGCTCACTGTGCTCTTCCCAGAGCCCGTGTTCTTCTACATGTACACTCTGAACAACCACGCTAAGCCCCTCTATCCCCAGGCTGCTTGCTACGCCTGGGGCTTCTTGCACGAGGACATCCCTAACTTGTTCCACACGGCTTCCATCTGGCTGACGGTGGCCCTGGCGGTACAGCGGTACATCTACGTGTGTCACCCTCCTGTGGCTCGCACCTGGTGCACGCTACCCCGTGTTATCAAGGCTATCATCTGGATCTTCATCTTTGCCACCATCCACCAGGCGCCAAAATTCTTCGACACAGTGTACGATTCCACAGAAGTTGAATGGCAGGGCGAGTGTGTGTGTGTTTGTAGCGAGAGATTCAGTGACTGGGTGACGCAGATCACTCCAAACATCTACTTTCCGATCTACTTCTGGTTCCGGGTGGTGTTTGTGCACCTTGGTCCGTGTACACTGCTCGTAGTGCTTAACCTTCTCCTTTTTAGCGCTTTAAAAGAGGCGCAGAAGCGCAGGAAGAAACTTCTACACGACAAGAACTCAAAGAGGGAGTGCAAGAAACTGAGTGACTCCAACTGTACCACACTGATGTTGATAGCTGTGGTGTCAGTGTTCCTGGTGACAGAGATTCCCCTGGCAGTAATCACACTCCTTCACATCATCTCCAACATGGGCATCGTTATATTCTCCAACGATTCCTACTACATGCTCATGTATTTCTTCATCATCTCCAATTCCTTCATCATATTCTCCTACCCCATCAACTTTGCCATCTACTGCGGCATGTCGCGACAGTTCAGAGAAACGTTCCACGATCTCTTCTTTCACGGACGCGGTACACCGCGAAGGAGAGATTCAACGCGCTACTCGACTATCAACAGTCGCCCACGAACCAACCGTTCATGTGCCTCGGAAACTGTCATATGAGGCACAGCAATACCAGCTGAAGGCACTGAATCAGCCCGACCTTCATCTGGTTGCCATCTGTTACCCAAGGTATCTAATACAACTCTTCTCCACAACGACACCTCTGTGGGTAGCGTCTTAGCTCCGGCAGCCGAGAAGCCGCCACAGGAGCACCAGAAAGACATATCCAAGAAGATGGAACTCATGGGCGACTCCACGGAAGATAATTATCCTCTTGAGACCTTAGTGACTGGAAAACCAACGGAGAAAATATTACATAATACCGAACTCAAGAACGAAGACAAGAGCACAACGAAGGTAGACGGTGGTCGCAGCTTGGCCTCCGGCCTCAGAGTTCACTTCGAGAGTCCACCGCTCAGTAGCAGCCACAACAACAGCGCTCCAATGTTCAACGAGACAGTGTTGTAAACATCAGCCATCGCTTAATACAACACTCCAGATAACCGAACACTTGTAATGGTGAGGAAGCCTGTTTGTTTTTTAGTGATTTATGAAGGACAATGCTGACAAGTTACATTATTAAATAACTCATAAAGTCGTAATAACACCACTGCAAGCAAACCAGGGAACGAGTGTGGGTTTGAAACCATGGCAAGTGAATCGTAACACTCACAGGCCAGTGCGTTAACCACTGGACCAGCTGGCTCTTATTAAAGCCAGCTGGCCAAGTGGTTAACGCACTGGCCTGTGAGTTTTACGACTGATCATGGTTTCGAACCCCACTCGTTCCAAGATTTATTGTATAGAAGATTTTGGAAAGCAGTAACGCAGCTACGTAACAACAATTCCATCCGCAGTAAACTACAACACTACAAGATCTGGACAGGAACTGAGTTAAAAACCTTCACTACTTGGCTAGTGACTGCCAGTGAAGGATTGTAGAAAATGGCAGATATTATACATACTATATTACACAGGTGTTTTAATGGAACAAACCATAAGACAAGCAGGTGTTTATATTGCATGATATTGCAACCTAGGGACAATAAACCCTGTTATCCTGGGTGTAATGGGGAGCAGAACACACAGCTAAATAACTTTCAAATATATTTTCCTTCACAAATAGCAATGTGGATATTTACAGGTATGTACACTATATACAGCTGGAAATGTGTATAACACGGTTTAGGCCAAGACAGTCTGGAGACAGAATGGACAAGCGTGCTCAACCAGCTCTAGTATGGAAATGACAAGGGTAGACAGGCGGGTGGTGACCACAACACTTCTACGATTGCCAGAACCATCTTGTCACTGGCTGAACCTGAGTACTGATCAAACGATGGGGCCCCATCGATCGACCCTTAGTACTGGTTTGCTGGTTGGGGGAGATTACCTTTCAATGAGGGTGTGTACTTGCGCCGAATAAAGGTTACGTACTCTCTGCATGCCACACATGACAAATATCTGCAGGATTTCTAAGATTTTATGAGGTAAACAAAAATATCCGAGAGCTGCAGATATTTCAGTGGAAGGAACAGGTGTTTGAAGTGACGTAGATACAGTGGGATATTACTACTAGTAGTACTACTCTTCTACGACTGCTACTATTGTAACTAGTAGTGCAGCGACTACTACAACTGCTACTACAACTATTTAACTACTGCTACTACTACTACTACTACTGCTACTGCTACTACAACTACTACTACTGGTACCACTATTCCTACCACCACTTCTACTATTACTTATAATACTGTTGCTGCTATTACTATTACAACTACTACTACTGCTACTACTACTACTACTACTACTACTGCTACTACTACTACTACTACTACTACTACCCACTACTACAAATATACTACTTTCTAAAAGCTACTACTCTACTACTACTACTGCTACTACTACTACTATTACAACTACTACTACAACTCTACTGCTTTCTACTACTACAACTACTACTACTACAACTACTACTACTACAATTACTACTACTACTACTACTACTGCTACTGCTACTACTACTACTACTACTGCTACTACTACAACTGCTACTACTACTGCTACTGCTACTACTACTACTGCTACTGCTACTACTACTACTACTACTACTACTGCTACTACTACTACTACTGCTACTGCTTTTACTACTACTAAATAATTAACAGAAATAATCAAATAACGATTCGTATATTTCTATCTTACTTTTATCATTAATTATAATTTTTATTAATTATAATTATCATTAATTACAATTATCAATAACTATAATTATCATTAATTACAATTATCAATAACTATAATTATCATTAATTACAATTATCAATAACTATAATTATCATTAATTACTATTATCAATAACTATAATTATCATTAATTACAATTATCAATAACTATAATTATCATTAATTACTATTATCAATAACTATAATTATCATTAATTACAATTATCAATAAGTATAATTATCATTAAGCAGAAATTTCACAGTTTCTCTTATCCATCATAATGGGTAGACCAGCTGCATCGTGTGTACTCACCTAATTGTGGTTGGAGGGGTCGATTCACAGCTCCTGGCCCCGCCTCATCACTGGTCGCTACAAGGTTTACTCTCTCCCTGCTCCATGAGCTTTATTATACCTCTTCTTAAAGCTATGTATGGATCCTGCCTCCACTACATCACTCTCCAGATTATTTCACTTTCTGTCAACTCTATGGCTGAAGAAGTACTTCCTAACATCCCTGTGACTCATCTGAATTTTAAATTTCCAGTTGTGACCCCTTGTTGTTGTGTCACAACTCTGGAACACTGTCTCTATCCATCTTGTCAATTCCTCTCAGAATTTTATATGTCGTTATCATGTCTCCCCCGTCCCTTCTGTCCTCCAGTGCCATCAGGTCGATTTCCCTTAACCTCTCCTCAGCCCTGGGACTAATTTTGTCGCAAACCTTGGCGGTTTCTTTAATTTCTTGACGTGTTTGACCAGGTGTGGGTTCCATGCTGGTGCTGCGTACTCCATACTCGTGAATGATCTCTTACTCAGGTGTCGAAACGTTATGCTTAAGTATGCTAGACACCCATATGCTGCAGCAGTTATTTGGTTGATGTGCGCCTCAGGAGATGTGTTCGACATTATACTCATTCCAAGATCATTTTCCTAGACTTAAGTTCGTAGTCTCTAATCCACTAGACTGTACTCCGTCTGAAGTCTTCTTTGTCCTTCCTCAATCTTCAAAACAAGTTGTATTTGGTGGTTTTAAACTCCAGGAGTCAGTTGTTGGACCAGGCTTGCAGCCTGTTCAGATCCTCTTGTGGTGCCCCTGATCCTCATCCACTTGAAATCTCAGCATTAGCTTCACATCGTCTACAACCAGCGACGCCTCTGAATGTGTCACTTCCGTTATATTATTTATATATACCAGAAACAGCACCGTCCCTAGGATTGATCCTTGTGGAACCCCGCTCATCACAGGCGCCCACTTTGACACATCGTCACGTACAATCACTGTTTTCTTCCTGTCAGGTAATCTCCGATACATTGCGGTGCCTTTCCTGTTATTCTTGCCTGCTGCTCCAACTTTTGCGCTAATCTCTTGTGCGGAGCTGCGTCGAAAGCCTTCTTACAGTCGAAGAATATGCCGTCTACCCACCTCTCTCTTCTTCTCTCGCTCTCTCTTTCTCTCTCTCTCTCTCTCTCTCTCTCGTCTTCTGTTACCTTGTTGTGAAACTCCAGTAGGTTTGTGAAGCATGTTTTCGTCTCCCTGAAACCGTCCTGATTATCATGTATAGTTTCACTCTTTTCTCGGTGCTGCACCAGTCTTTTCCTGATAATCTTCTCCATGACTTTGTATACTATACATGTCAGTGACACTTGTCTGTAGTTTAATGCTTCATGTCTGTCTCCTTTCTTAGAGATTGGGACTACATTTGCGGTCTTCCATTCCTCAGGTAGTCGCCCTGTTTCGATAGATGTGTTGGAGATTGTTGTTAGTGGCACACACAGTGTTTCTGCTCCCTCTCTCAGGACCCATGGAGAGATGTTGTCCGGTCCCATCACCTTTGAGGTATCTAGCTCACTTAGAAGCATCTTCATCTCCTCCTCTGTTGTATGTAGTGTGTCCAACACTTGCTGGTGCACCCTTCCATCCCAGTTTGCTGGAAACCATTCTGTTTCCACTGAAAAAAACTTCAACGAATCTCGTGTTAAGCTCCTCACGAACATCTCTGTCGTTTCTCGTGACCTCGTCTCCTTTCTTCCTCAGCCTGATTACCGGATCTTTGACTGTTATTTTCCTCCTGATGTGGCTGTACAACAGCTTTTGGTAAATTCTGGCCTTCGATGCTATATTCTCCTATTGCGCTGGGCCTCCTCCTTATCCATTGGTATTCATGTTTGGCTCTTCGACTAATCTCATTTTCCTGTGTCCTTCTATACTTCTTCCATTCTCTGTTGCACTTAGTTTTGGTCTCTCTACACCTCTGAGTGAACCATAAGGCACGTCCTGGCCTTCCTATTGTTGCTGCTGCTCTTGGGTACGTGTATGTGTGTGTGTGTGTGTGTGTGTGTGTGTGTGTGTGTGTGTGTGTGTGTGTGTGTGTGGATGAGGTCAATAACCCAGGAAGTCAGCCGCAGGAGACAAAGCAGTCACACACACACACACACACACACACACACACACACACACACACACACACACACACACACACAGTCTAGGGGGCCAGAGACTACAAACATCACTCAAGGAAAAAGATCTTGGGGTGAGTATAACACCAGGCACATCTCCTGAAGCGCACATCAACCAAATAACTGCCGCAGCATATGGGCGCCTGACAAACCTCAGAACAGCATTCCGACATCTTAATAAGGAATCATTCAGGACCCTGTACACCGTGTACGTTAGGTCCATATTGGAGTATGCGACACCAGTTTGGAACCCACACCTAGCCAAGCACGTAAAGAAACTAGAGAAAGTGCAAAGGTTTGCAACAAGACTAGTCCCAGAGCTAAGAGGTATGCCCTACGAGGAGAGGTTAAGGGAAATCAACCTGACGACACTGGAGGACAGGAGAGATAGGGAAGACATGATAACGGCATACAAAATACTGAGAGGAATTGACAAGGTGGACAAAGACAGGATGTTCCAGAGACTGGACACAGCAACAAGGGGACACAGTTGGAAGCTGAAGACACAGATGAATCACAGGTATGTTAGGAAGTATTTCTTCAGCCACAGAGTAGTCAGCAAGTGGAATAGTTTGGGAAGCGATGTAGTGGAGGCAGGATCCATACATAGCTTTAAGCAGAGGTATGATAAAGCTCAAGGTTCAGGGAGAGTGACCTAGTAGCGACCAGTGAAGAGGCGGGGCCAGGAGCTTGGACTCGACCCCTGCAACCTCAACTAGGTGAGTACACACACAGATGGTGTGAAGTTAATGAAAATAATTAAATCTGTGGAGGATCAGGCAGGACTACAAAGAGATCTGGACAGGCTACAAGCCTGGT